TATGGTGCTATACAAGTAGGGTGGGCACGCCGCATTTTTTGAACAGAAATGTATGTAAGTGGGACTGCTGCCCGCTACTATACTGTCACGAGAATCGGGGAATTCGTGAGCCAGGGGGAGTGTAGCCAATCTAGGGGGGGGGGTGAGGGCAGTCACTTGACATGCGTGAAAAGCTGGGCGTGCCCACCCCACTTGTATAGCGCCGAGAATTTTTGAATAGCTTCTGCTGGAGTGCAATGTAGAATGATCCCTTTCGAAAAAGCCTTTGATGAGAGAGCGAGAGCTAAAACGAGGCCTCACGGGAAAACTTTATGATTCAATAGGAAATATTCAGGGATACCACTTACATTTACATATTTTGCAAGCAAGGTAATCAAGATTTTTTTGAGTCAAACTAATAAAACGCCTTCGATTATAATATAACTCACAAAAACTGTTACCTTTAAAAAGGACTTTGTAAAAAAAATGACGCACCTTTGCCAGCGCCCTATAGGCCTTTTTGATCTGATTGGCGTTTGCATTACGAGGAACTCCAAGAATTTTGTAGAAATCGCGTCCACATTCAACAAATTCTAATAGTGTCGAGAAAACAATTACTGGTAAATATCCTAACAGGTTCATGCCCTAAATAAAAAGCAAACATCGAAAGGGAACGTACAAATCGTGAAAATGGGATCAAAACGAAGGCAAAAAGCAGAATAAAAGGGTAAACACAAAAGATAACGAGCAAAGACGGGATGAAAAGAAGAAAACCTATTTCGGCATCCATAAAAGTTATGTAGAAAATATTTTAAATGTGATGGATGGGAGAAGCGAGTGGGCGGGGCCGACTAGCACACGTCACGCGCGACTGTGATTGGTCGTCGACCGTCTGCACTAAATGTGGGTCAACTGTCGAGATGAGATGGAATCGTGTTGACAAACATCTTTCCCGAACAGGGTTCCCGACTATATAAATCGGGATCACCGCAGAGATACTGTTACTCCTTCATCTCTTACCAATTACGTACAGTTTACGAATCTGTGATCCCCCACTTTCGCGACCCATTTGAGCTCTCTCCGACTTGGGTGAATTTGTTAGGATGGCTTTTTGTTAAAATCCCTCTGCAAATACTTTGTTAAGCAACACTGTTGTTCGTACTTTTGAAATCGGCTGCCA